GGACCCAGGAAGGAAGGGGTGCCAGCAGCCTCTGAGGGGCAGGGGTCCCCTGGGCACCCATCTCAGCTCTCCCAGGCAGCAGGAACAGGGAGCCCCATGCCCTGGGGTGCTTCCCTGCACCCGAGGCTCTGTCCTGCATCCCAGGGTGTTCCCTGCACCCCAGGACTTTCTCCTGCACCCCAGGATCTCCTCTGCTCTGCACCCGAGGCTGTACCCAGCACTCTAGCTTTTCCCATGGCAGGATTTCCCTAGCTCCCATCTCTTGTCCTTGAAGCAGGCACCCCGGGTACACCAGCAGCCTCTATGCTTTGCCCCCCCCCCCCAAGGCTGGTCCTCACCGTACGGTGGCACAGCACCCCTGGCACGCCGGGGGGTCAGGCAGTGCAGCCTGGCGCAGCCCTAGGGGCTGGCAGACAGGGGCACCTCTGCCCCCCACCAACCTCTGCCCTCAACTTTCCTCCAGGTGAGGAGACCCAAATTCGTGCAAGCCCAGTTTGACTTCTCAGCCCACGACGGCTCCCAGCTGCCCTTCCTCCGCGGGGACATCATCGAGGTCCTGGACTGCCCCGATCCCAACTGGTGGCAGGGGAAGATCTACGGGCGCGTTGGCTTCTTCCCCCGCAACTACGTCCACCCCATCCGCAAGTGAGCTGCTGCCGGCGCTGCGGGTGAGCAGGGAGGACCACAGTCCCCACTGCCCCCCACTCACCGGAGCTGCTTTGTGCCTGCACACGGACTGTGCGTCCCTTCGTCCCCACGGACAGTGCCCGTCCCCACGCCGGGCTGCGAGGTCCCGGTGCCACGTGGGCTGTGCTGGAGGTAGAGGCCAGGCTGGCAGCGACCCCCATCCAGGGGCTGCCCGGCTCTGGCACCCTGAAACATCAGCCACGACCCAGGGCACCTCCACCCCCCCCAGCCCAGGCATCATTTCTTGCTGCGGGCTGGCAGCGGTGCTCCCCGGGGAGGGAGCACAGAGCATTGAACCAGGGCCATAAAAACTCTTCCAGAGCCACAACCCGGTGGGGTGGCAGCCACGGAGGGGAAAAGTACATGGCCCCCAAACCCTTACTCCTCTCCAGACCCTGTGAGTGAAGCCCTGGCTCCAAGGAGGGCTGCAGGCAGCCAGGATGAGACCAGGCTCGGTAACTCCATGGAGGGGTGCCAGGGCTTGGGGTGCTGGGGAAGGCTGATCTGGGGGGAT